ACGGGAGTCAATACACTGATATTATAGCTCACAAGTGGCAACTAATCAGAGAGCCACATGTTTTAGCTGAGGCAGAAACTGTTGAATATAATGGAGTATTAACCCATGACCTGAGATTCTCTGTGTAAACGTTTGGAATCAAAGAGCAGAGACACACTGGCGAGATGGATTATACAGACTTCACGGTGATGCTCCTGTGAGGTGGAGGTAAGGTTGTTGAAGTCACAACTTGGTGTCAGTCAGCATCCGCAAACAATTCACGTGCCATGAAACATTTTAGTTCGTCCACAACAATAACAATCCAATTCTTACGTAATCAATAGATAGTCTATTTTGGCTTGTAGAACGGACATACAAAAGCTTTCTTCAAGAGGGAACAATGTAAACAAAACTGTTGAAAAGTAATCAGGATCAAGACGTGATCGAAATCAAGGCGTGATCACATTCCATCAAAACAATGCTCTGTTCCCAGTCTTTTTCTAAAAAGAGGGTTCTTGAAGGAAGCAAGGTGAGATTGGAAGAGGCTGGTTCTGGGATGGGTTGATGTAAACACTGTATGTATGTTGAGTAAACACTGAGGTCGGGACAACGGAATGGTACCGTAGAACCTTGTAAAAAGACGTTTTCCATAAGTAGCGTAAGGAATATATCCAGAAGGATGACGGCACGGAGAATGAACTGTTCTTACATTTGTTGCAGCCATATTGCAATGTGCCGGAATGGAAATATCTCAACCATACCATTTTAATCTGATTCGCCTCAATGCATCTTGCATTAATTCGTTTAAAATTCTAACTCTACGTTTTTATCATCAATCTCAAAGACATGCATATCACAAGACTTGTCTGTGTCATATTACACAGTTGAGAATGTCACCTTACCAAAACGCCATCATTGAAATGTAATGTGACCTGTCAGTAAAGGCAAACATATGTTTGACTGTCTGCGACATTAGTTACAAGATGCACGAAGGTCTTTGAACGGTATTTAGAAGTGATCCTGTGTGCCTTTAGGATACACGAAGGTCCGTTCACGATTTACATGTACTTATGTGGGTGTACTCTTATATTTTGGTGATATATAATATGAAAATGTCCGAATATATTCCCATAAAACACGCTGCAATGTCAATGGCATAGCAACACGTGAGTGTGTAAAGTGTAGTTCAACAAATGTACGTTATACTGCTACTAGTGACGATGTATTGAAATACTCAGCTAACATCGTAAAGAGAATATTTTATGATAGTTAGAAATGCATATCATAGTAATAACAATTCATATGATAATCAAGTTCGTTATGATCGTTACCGCCTTTCAGTTTCACATGGAATTATTGGCACGTAAAATGAAGTGTATTGCGACTGAATTTTGTCAATTGCATTACTCCTGAATTGTGCGTAATACCTGGAACACAGAGAGACGTGTTGATATTCCGTGATTTGACCTTTATCTGCTGATCATGTGTGAACGGAACTGTGGAGGCAATAAATCTGAGTCGTCGATTCCTGGAACTGAAGTGATTTGGTGAAATCATTACAACGGGTTCAGCCAGAATTATCGTTCGTATATGGCATCATATTAGGTGCAAAAAAGGTCTCAGTGTCACTGCATTTTATCGAACACAACACAACCGTTTTCAGATTTACTTGGTGTTTGGTGCTCAGTAAAGGTACGATAAAACGACGGTATACAATACAGTTTAATGCTTCTTACTACAATAAACTTCACACCAGATTTAACTCGTGGGTTTGTGGTATCGGTTAACAGACACAGGTCCCGGAATCGCCGTATATAACTGTGACAGTGACTGGCAAGGGGCAGCCATCAGCACTGTAACCCAAGAGCCTGACCTTTAGGCGATGGTAATTCTATATGACAGGACTTTACTTGATGGTTGGACGCCTGTACTCGTTAGACGCACACTTACTGATTCCAGTGTCATTGAACGCTGGTTTGCATTGTGTAGGTCTGAATGCAGTCATCAAAGACACTGAAATGTCCTTTCCCAAAATGCGTGGTCTTAAACTCTTACTACACCCACATGCGTTACTGGATCAGGTATACAGAGGCTGTGTTCACACATTGATGAAGATGGGAGAGCACATTGTGTTGTGCGTGTTGTGCACACATGCATGTTATAGTCATCATTATCATCATCATCATCATCATCATCATCATCATCATGTCTTCCAGAACGATGGCGCACAGATACAGGTCTCGACGTTGTTCTCACGATTTCCTATTAACGTATATCTCTTCAAAACTGTAGCATCAGTTAACATATCCCCCATTTATCAAACCATGTCCAATATGTTGGGAATACATGTGATTTATTTTGTTCAGAAAGCCATATGGGACGCTACAGTATTGAACGGTCCGTACTTATGACACATCATAAGTGGGCATAGCACTGTTTCCAACAACCACTGCTCTATCAGAGTCACGTGTTGATTAGATAAGTGTAATGGTATGACAAATATTATTTCTAGTCAGACAGTTATGGTGTTGGGTTGAGCTCTCTTAGTGTCTAGACGTGATCCATCGGAGCGGGTTAGTTGAAGCAGGAGGCTCTATACAAACTCATAAGTCCCGACTCCATGCCAGATTGCATTTATTACTAAAGGATTATTGAGATGCGCTTATAGTGTGTGCGGGTCTAATATTTCATGGACTAAATCGTCTGTCTGTCAACATCAGTTTAAAGATACCAAATCAGCTAATCCCCTGGGTCGATTGTGTGAAGTTCACTTTAAATAGAAAGGTGGTGATAACGTCTTCGTGTATGACATGTATGAACTGTTATACCCCAAAATATAAAATAAATAAATAAACTACCATCTGTTCAATTGCGTTATACCGAGGTTTGTAGAACTACATATCACAGGTTCACTACACATCGATGTGGGACAACAGTAAGTGAGTGTCCACCACCGGGTTTAGAGCACCTTTATCCCTGCCTAGTGTGTGTCGTCACCAGGGATGGGATGCCTTGGGAGAGTCAGTGAGTGAGTTAATATTTATCGTAACAATATTTCAGCCATATCGTGACGAGAACAAGCAATTTTCATAGTAAACATAAATAAATTTAGAAATTAAAAACCTGTTGACGAGGAACAGAACAAATACTAGAGTATCACAGATAAGGTAAAACTAGCATGAAATCATGAACAGATATTATTATAGAGAACAATTCATAATAAAAAAACCGGGCTATGGATCACTAGCAACTGAAGGTAGATCACCATACTAGGGACTATGGATACGTTTACTACATGCATGCACCCTAGCCGGATTTACATCATACCTTCAGGTGTTCGCGATTGTTCAGCAAAATAACAATACATTAAAAAACAAATATGCCACTAAAATATTAAAATTCAGAGAATGAAAAACACTCTGAGTGAAGAAGACTTACGTACCCTCTCAGGCCTTGTGGAAATGTGTCCAGCATCTGCCGACTAAATAGATTGTTTGTGGAGACCCTTTGACTGCAACAATATTTTCACTGCATGCCATCGCACCGTATCGCATGGATCGATGTTCATAATGTCAACCCCTGGATTGGCTGGTTCACTCAACTATGTGCAGACGGCTGTCATACGGCTGAGTGTAACAAGAAACAAACAACTAATCGTTACTGAAATCACCTCAGTGTTAACACATGACAAGTGCCTGTTGACGAGTGTAAGCAGATTTACCTTTTGGCTAATTTACACTGATAACATAACTAGGTCTTTGAAGTCGGTGTTCAGTGTTTCTGTATCCTAGCAGCCACATGCCCTGGTCATTTTGCACTGCAATGGTTCGAAGATGCTTCAAGTTCAATATTAAATGCCAAACAGTGTTCTCCTCTCTTGTGTCTTGCTTTGGGAAACTTTAATAGCCCTTTGCAGGAGTTCGCGTACATTTCTAGAATTGTAATCAGCCAGTCATGTTTGAGTTATTATTTTCACTATTCGATTGCTGATTAGATTTAAGTAAGACTGCCACAGATTGGCCCCTGAAGCCCCAGACGGGAAGATCGCAGCTGACAGTCATAGCGATCATCTGACATCATTTACTGGATTATTTCAAGATGCAGTAGCTCAGGCTTCCGGTCCCATCATGTAATGGCGTTTATCCTTCGGCATACCCAATGTCTGCTAAAAGAGAGTACTCAACCCCCACAGTAATTGCGAAATGTCTTACCTTAATTATAAAAGAGTCATTTCGCTCTACAAACGCATACTTGTTTATAGAGACATTACATAACTTATCCTTTATTCAAATTCAAACTCGAAGTTCAGTTCAGAATTTTTTACAAATACAACTAAATAGTAATTTCATTTAAAACCGCAATAATTATTCCATACACAGTAATTCTATAAACTGGCGTAGAAAAGAAAGAAAGTACACTGCTGGCTCTTTGAGATTATTTTCCCAAAAGGCAACCATAAAGTATTTTGAAAATTGTTACTTTGCATTATGTACTTGTTGCTAAAACACGGATAAAAAGTAGCCTAATGTACTGAATAAGTACTAAGATAACACGAGAGTCAGGTCGAAGAAGACCTTCCCTCGCACGTACACTCTTTTACATCACTATTGCATCTGGAATGACGTCCTTCAGTCCCGAAAGGGCATTTACAACGGTGTACAAACTATTCATTGTATCGGGATGTTAGCAAAAGAATCAAGCTGAGACGAAGCACATACTGGTTTTATTGTATCACCATCTTACATGCATAATGGGCCGCTGGCACCTTTATCGAAATAAACTCTCTCTCACAAAGAAAGTCACAACATCGTACAGCTGTAATACTGCTGAAACAAACATATTACCTGATATAGTCACAAGTGTACAATCGACACTGCTTTTAGTCGAGATTTCTTATGAATGTGAACAGGGTTTTATCGCTTGTATTAATATCATGCGCCTCAATCTGTTGTCATTAACAATCACAGAAATAACCTTAAAACATATCGACTGTCCAATAACACATATTTCTCTATTTACAGGTGAGCGCGGCTATATCAGTCTCGACCACTACCCGTGTGCATCCGCTGGTGAGAGTGGCTGCTGACACAACACTGTTGCAGCTCATACACTGAAGACTGGTGATACTCCTCAACACGGAGGTATGTTTCTCATACAATATTTCAAGCTTTTAATAGTGACCAGCTGAGAGACATGATATTGTAAATCCCCGTCGGTAACTCCTCCTGTTTAGTAATTTATCATATTTGTGTCTGTTGAATGCGTTGTAAGCGTCGGATATCCAGCACGAGTTTCACTTTTATCAATATTTAACAACGCAAAATCTATAATGTAATGCTTTTCTAAAATACTACATCAGTATACTTTATATAACTAAACAAACAGCTCAAACTGCTTCGTTTTACTGGGAAATGTATAAGCCTTCTGCAGGACCGGTCATGGTGCATACCTCTACCCGTTTCACTGGACCATTCCATGTAAAATCCTCACGGAAGCAAATCCTATCGACCAATGGATCAGTGGCCGTCAATGCTTAAACTCTCTCACACACACACACCATGAAATACCGAGGCCTGCAGTCAGAGATGCGTGTTTTGACGCGTACATGGCGTTTTAACACAAACTCATTCTGATTCTGTGGTATATCTGGCTTGGGTTCTATTGCTGAAGTTATTAAAGGTACATTTAACAATACTGTAGATAGTTCCAATAACACAGCCACACTGTGGAAGGTTGCAAGCAGTCACTACGTACAGTGTCAGTTCAAAACTAGAACAGGGTAACAGACCAGGTACCATGATACTAAGAAAGCTAGAACTATGTTCATGAAATCAATTCTTTGTCACAGTCGTTTAGTATTCAGGTAGGAATCACAATAGCTGACAACATGGTGGATTATCCCCGCAGTGGGAGCGTGATTCAAACACAGCAGCTATGCTCATAGTTGAGTCCATTGTAGTGCCTCGAACAAGCGCTTTATAATTAAAGTTATATTGATCTGAAGGTAATTATTTCATTTATGCATCTGGCTTTATAAGTTTAGAATGATGTGAATTGTGGCACATATATAATCCATATGATCCAACATGACACCACCGTAGGCAAAGGGTTGGAATATTGCTATACTGGAGTAACTCTCGACTCACACACATAGGCTTCACGCTGCCAATATATTTAATCAACATGATCGGAAGCTTCTTTCAAGTGGTATCGATATACAGCATGTACATAATCACGTGGGCGAGGAGGCTAAACTTACGTGTACATACAGATTATTCATGAATTCAATATTTCCTGTGAAAGTAAAAAAATATATATTTTATGTAAACAGTGTTACTGCGCTTCGCGTGTGTAGTTTTTGACATCAATAGACACCTCTCATATGAATAATACAAATAATCACCCTTGAGACGAGAAAATATCCATCTTTAGAAAAGGCTAGACCCAGATACTCTTGATATGGGCCAGCGGGGATCGGTATTTCTGGCGGAAATCATTATATGAATTCCCTGAGGGAGGTCGTGAAACCGAAAATGTCACCATCACCCGCAACTGGGATTAAAGATGATTACAGCAGGCGCGGATGACCCTGTGATTCCTCAGCTTTGTTAGGCACTGGACATTTACTATTCTTGCGTTCGGAAGCTTCATTGCGACTAGACATCCTTTTGGTCATTACACAAACGGTCGAATATGTCTATACCACAAGGTGTTCTGAACATCATGCTTGTACGGCGAACATATGTTTTTTGTAAAACCTGCGTAAATTGTTACATTATTGGAATATATTTCTTTTTCTTATTAAAATATAAAAATGTTCGGTTATCTAAACGATGGCAATAAGTTCACTACTGCGACTTTGACATTACCGTGATAAAGTCACACTGATTCGTAGGGGGACATAGTGGTAATGACTCGACGGAGACAAAATGGTTGTTTAATGCCAAAGAACAAAGCTTACCACCTGCTTGCTCCGTCCAGATAAATGCGCCGTTAGTCCTAAATGTGCTCTTCTTGGGCTGCCCCACTGAGGTTTGAAATAATAAAAAAACAGTATCTAGACGCCATTGTATGGTAGGCTGCTCTCAATGAGACACTTGTAGCCTATACAAAGCTGTAATATGTAACGCTAATATTCCTTACACGTTTGCATCCAGTTTCCGGACCAACTCACGACACATTAATGTGTGATATACACAGCCCAGTTAGCAAGAGTTATCACCTGAACCTCCAACCAGTTTAACCGCTCTATGGTGGAGAGCAGACGATACAAAGTCATTAAATTGGAGTGTCTTTCTCCAAAAGAGATATGTTCGACAGACCATTTACACTACTGGGACACTACTGTATGTACCGGAACCTCAATCAAAACCCGCTGAGACTATAGCCTGATACCGTTGTTTCATACTGGTAGATGTGGATATATAGCCAAGTTTTGTTTCATTACAACATGCATGTGTAATCTAAGAGCACTAAAGGTTGTGTGATTGTTTGATCACAGCTTTAAAATGAATCCAAGTTTAGAACATGTCGGCTTCAAGTTCACAATAGCAGTCTCAAGCTCAAAGCCAACAGGAACGGCATCTGATTTCAACAAGGAGCACGGTGCCTCATAGGGGTATATTGCCGAGTTTCACAGGAACACTGTTGCGTTCTGTATACACACTGCTATTGAAACCAGATGTAGCAGGCAATTGGAATCAGACATTCAAATAAAATTGTCTTTACCTAAATATATTTTGTCTGTAGTAAGGCATGTCTGTTTTATATTTGCTTCTGCATCAGATAAAATGGTATGTCTGTAGTCTTTTCACAAGTGGTCACTGGAAGTTTACATGGGGGAGATATAATAAATTCAGCACCAAAAGACATTCTTGTGTGTGTTTCACAAGGTAATTAAGAGACACACCTGCTGTATGAGACGGTGAAAAGTGACCCATCTATACACTGTGTCTGCGGATGTGACATTTGGTAGAACTAGACATCACATCAAACAGAATATACGAAGAGGTATGTGGGAAGTGAACAAGTTGGTCAGCACGTATCAGTTGGTTATTACAGCAGATTTTCTCAGAGCCTCGGGCAACTGGACTTGGTAAAACTGTGTTAACACAAGACACTTCTCGGCCCTATCAGACGAACTCTAGGTTTGCGTGGGTGGATGAGCGTCACAGCTCTGGACGAGCGGCCTGAAGAACACAAAACATTCTCCCAGAGCGACAGTCTGCTACCTATTGTGTTGACACGCCTATGTTGACTAAGGACCAATATTTGCATACTAGTGCACCGGAATAATATCTATCCTTTTATCAATATATACTCTCTGTATCATATGTAGGTCCATCTTTCACATCGATCACAAATGATCATCAAATGAACATAATGTTTAAAGCTAGTGTCTGTGTATCATATTTCATGTGATTAATCTGTATGTCCAGTGCTTTTTAGACACCTTTGTTATATATATTTATATATAATTGATGTCGATCATTTAACGATATATTGTTTAAATAAATCATGTACTATTAACATATTAATATGCATCAGGTATCTGTCTATCTATCTTCCACTAGTGTCCCGCTCTAATGGAACATCAGTGTATTTTACATACGGTTTAAAGTCAACAGCTTACCAGCACTGATCAATACACAGTTCTGACACATCTTTGATATCAATACGACTCAATTAAGTGGCTCACAATAAGTCCATCAATAAGCTGTATACATTCACTGCTGACATAGCCGGTGACACTGAGCTCCATCTACAGTGACACCTCCCTATGTCAGTGGTAACTTCATTTGCCCCGTCTGGAGTCATTGGGCTAACAACATTTGCTATTTCACGTGTCCCGCGTACACAAACACTAATAACGTTCATTAATAGTCTCAACACTTCAAGCTGCCTTAATTACGCTTCTCCTGTCCCGTCGGTTACACCATAAATGATAACACGCGTTGTGTAGCATCGGAGATATGTCGACTTGCTCTGTGTATATTTACATAAGTTAAAGGGATCTTCTTCCTTCAGACGTCACTGCAGTATTCGTTAACTGTATGTATATTCATTGTGTCTTGTCAGGCGATCGTTTACTCCAGAGCATTGTTTTAGAGCGGAGAGCTGCGTTGTGTCACTAAGCTGAAGGACCTGCCTAACATTGGTTTGACGTTGGATGCGACACTAAGGTCCCCGAGGACGTAGTGAAGGAGTTGCTGCAGCGGGATCTCTGTGGAGTGCATAATGGACTGCAGCTAGTAATAATGGTCAAACAAGTGCCCTGATTAAGTGTCAGAAACAATGGCCCCTGAACGTTGAGACCACTCCACGTTTATAATAGCAATAGAGCTAGTGAGAGGAAACTATTTATTGAATCACTACAAAGCCTAAGGCGGCTTGATGAATGGGAATGATGTTGTTACGCACGCAGAGAATACAATGTGAGATCTATTATAAACGAAAAACACCAGTTAAAGAGCGAATTATCGACTGTTGTTTATGTGTTAGGCACTTATGTAGTTACAAGACGTTGTGTGCTACTGTGTCTTGACTAAGCAATCTGGGGGATGACAGCATGAACAACGTTTGACATAGACGTGACGGGTCCAGATACAATAGCACGCACACCTTCACTCACGTCACAGATGCTGACCAGGTGACCCCCGCTTTACCTATAATTGTTTTTTTCGTTTTTGTTACTACAAACTTTAACACTCTTAAGTCATTTCCTTCCCATTCATCAATGCCATATTGATTTGACTGGTCAATTCGTGGTTTCAAATCACAATAGTAGCCTCTGACAGAAACAGTTGAATTCGACTTCCGCATCACAACCGGCGATTATATTTGTTCAAAATTACTTCTTTTGCAAATATAGTACGGTAATGTGATAATACATTACAATATTAAGTTACAAACTCTGAGCTGTAGCAAGTACACTAAAACGTTACAAACCGTGATCTGCGTTGAATACAATGGCCAAAGACAAAGTTACAATTTGGTCAGAATACAGTCAGACTCGATTAGCAAAGTGTATACGTATATATTTTTGTTAGATTGACAACAAGGAGCTTTACTTTGGAGGCCTTTTGACCAATTTGTTCACCAGTGACATCGGTAACCATGGCAACACTCAATATTATCTTTG